CTACACCCGCCACAATCCATTCAATATCAGCGCCCATTTGTCCGTTGGCTGCGTCCGTTGCTTCCGCCGAATGTGGCGATGGCACACGCAGCGCGTACTGTACCTGTCCATCAGCAGCGACGAGGGGCATTTGCTTGCGTGAAAGTCGCGTACGCACCGCGGAAAGCAATGCTGGGCCATCTTCTCGTGCGGCAGCCAAACCTTGTACCACATCCAGTACAGCGCGTGTATTGGTTATTTGTCCCAAAATAGCGAGCACATCTAAAGCGGCTTGACGCACGCGACGCTTGCGATTTAGGGCGGTATATGTGGCATGGGTAACGCAGGTGGTCATGTCAAAGCAAGTGCTAGGAAAGGTCATCAGCGAGTACATAACCATTTTGAGCGCGTGTTCACGGAACTGTGTACAGGGGGAGAGAGAGAGCGTTATTCAAGTGAAATTTTACACAAAACGCAAAGAAGTCAAAAAGAAAGAAATTGAAAGAAAGAAGAACGGAAGTTCATCAATTCTAGTGATACCAAGTAGCCAGCCGCACTTAGCCACATCAATAAAAGAAAAAAAGGAGCACACTTTTGTGGCCATTGTCACAACTGGGCCAGCTTGTTAATATGCAGGCATTTAATAATTTCTCAAAGCAGTAGTGCTGCGGTCAGCAGACCAATACGGCCATTATCGCTGTTGGTCAACCTGGTTCTCATGTTTGCTTTCGCTTGTTGATTGCACTTACCCTTGAGCTCTTTGCATGTAAAAATTCTTGCGACAATAATTTGAGTACAATTGCCGCCGCCGGCAGTCGATGCATCAATGCTTTGCATACGCGATTCGCTCCAGCGCCACCTTGGCGACACAGCCCGGTCATTATTTGTGTTGTACGATCCTCCAAGTTATCGAGTGGCAAACGTGTTATGAGATTGATTAGCAGTTGTTGCTTTGCCTCTGCCACGTCTGGATTACGTTCAGAGAAGAGTAAAGTGCGGAGTAAACTATCCAGACACGGTTGAACTTGTGCCAGTGTATCGGTGTTACGCAAAGCTACCTCGAGTTGGGCAACGCCCTGCAGGCGGTGATGCCAGTTCTAAAAGATTGAACGAAAGGAGATTGTGTGTAATATGCATAGAAATATGCAGGACAAAAAAAAAAAAACATTATGTAGATACTGCGAAATTTACGCTTATCGTATATGATTGGTTAGGCTACTGTTAACTTCTTGGTAGTTTAGATACAAACTTGATATTTTGTTATATGTATATTTAAAAAAAAGTAAGTGCGCCTGGGCCACACTGGAGAAATGAAAATTACCTTACATATCTAGGTTGTGTCATAACCAATATACATATGTACATACATACATACATACATAAATTTATCTGCTTTTGCTTAAGGTTATATTTTTTTATATCTAGATCTCTACATCTACCCGGTTAATTCTAATTACATTTATGTTATTCTGTTTTCCTTTATATTTGCTTTTATCTTTATACTCCATCGACAACAAAATCGATAGTAACATCCACCAAAATATCGATGAAGGAAGATCGATACAAATATCGATAGCGAATTCAATAAAAGTATAAAAGTAAAAAAACCAAAAAAAATCGATACAAATATCGATAACAAAGTCGATAAATATCGATAAAAACATCGATAAAAATATCGATAGAAATATCGAAAAGAAAGTCGATAAAAATAGCGATAACAAAATCGATAAATGTATATCGATAACGAAATCTATAAGAAATATCGATAACAAGATCGGTAAATATCGATAACAAAATCGATAAAATTATCGGTAGCAAAATCGATATACAATATCGAAACAAAATTGATAAATATCGATAACAAAATCGATTAACAATGATAACAAAATCGAGAGAAATATCGAAAACAAAATCGATGAAAGTATCGGTAACAAAATCAATAAAAAATATCGATGATAAAATCGAGAGAAATATCGAAAACAAAATCGATAAGAATATCGATAACAAAATCGATAAAAAATATAAATTTTTTTATCGATAACTTCCGAGGTAACCGAAAATCTCTAAAATCCCGAAATAGTTCCCACATTGGGTCTTTGTGTCTCTATTTACATATGTAGATATATCCTCTTTAAAATAATTACCTTGGTATTAATCTTTCTTCCCCTTATCTTTACTTTTACCTTCACCTTTGCCCTTAGATACATAAGTAAATTGTTTAAATTTACCTAGGTCTTCATTTTTGCCTTTATATTTACGCATCTTTGTTTTTATTTTTACTTTTTTACTTATTTATCCTTTTCTTTATCTATGTACGTACTCACCTTTACTTTTATTCTTGTATTGGTATTTATCTAAGTTAATCTTCTATTAGCACATTTTTGTTAAATGAATACCATGTGCAGAAGCGCTTGTTTCCCTCCCAACCATTTCCGTGTGCAATTTCCGTTGAATTTGCCAATTTACTCCCAACCAACCAACCGCCGCTACAAAAATCAAGATAAGTTTGGTGAGAAAGTGCGGCGTACACAAATAAATAAGCCAGTGTGTACGAAAAGCAAAGAATAAATCATGGAGAACTTATGTCTTAACTTAGAGAAAACAAACGAGGCTTAGGCATTTCGTAACCAAAAATCCAAGCGCGTCTTGCCTTATATGTTAGAGTGGCCGGGACTTGACCAATGCAAGCGAGCAGTCGCTAGAGAGCCGGAGCTTTCAATAATGCCTCAAGTGAAGCGATTATAAATACTAGGATTGTCAGTTACTGTCAAAATTCGAAAATTTTTCTAGTTTTTTTTTTCAAACATAGCGCGTCGATTAAGTTATAATTCACAAAATTACTCAAAAGAAAATCTTCTGCTTTGAAAGTGACTAAAAATGTTTATACCCTTTTTTTTTAATATTTTATTAGCGTTACAGTTCAGCGGGGAAACGGTTTTTTTTATAACCAATGTTTTTTTATAAGACCCCTTTGGGCGTCAAAAAATGACCTTGGAACGAAGTCTACTGGCACAGTCTGGCAGTAGCATACAACGGTCCTTGAGAAAATACAGGCCATACAAGAAGCAAACGAGTGCCAAAACCGGGCGAATGAATGCGAGGGATTAATATTCGCAAGCTACATGAAATGCCACTGAAAACTTTAAAATCTAGATAGTTTTTTTTTTCAAAAATTATCATTATCAGAATAATTTTTACCAACTCTATAGTCTGATTTTTCTGCAATGACAAAAGAACAATCATAATTTTTAGATGATTTCCATTTGAAGACAACCGGCCGGGTACGGCCGTGATTTTTAATTTCGATGAAGCTGAAATAGCCGACTTATAAGCTATTCTGTTTTTTAGATAAAAATCGATATCTGGTATTTTTTTTCAAATGCCCATAACTTTGTTAAAAATTAATGGATTTCAACCTTTTTCACTCGATTGTTAGTAATTGTAGCCACTTTAAGATGGAATGATGAAATAATCGATTTGTATATATATTAATTTTTTATTTACTTTTATGAGTTCTTATAAAAGTTATGCAAAAACCATAGTTTTTTTTTTTCTTTGATCTAAATATTTCACAAAAAAATAGGCACTTTGAACTACAATGGAGCTAAATCACGATGTCCTTGAACCAGATTCAACTGAATCGGTCTCGAACGATGGAATTTCCGATTAAACTATTTTGGGGGGGGTGTTCACGAGTTAGTATACGTGAAGTTCAAAATCGTGGCAAGTGCATTTTGTGGTTCAATTACTAAGCGTGGGAAAGAAACAAATGACTTTGGCCAGTGGTATCACCCAAGAACTAAAATTATGCAGAGCTACAGACAAGTGTTGCGGACGGTGGTCAGAGGCTTAAGAGATTTGGTTGTGAAACACCCCAACCTAAACAGCCGTTCGGATATCGGGGAAGATGTACCGTTCTGGAAATATTATTCACAGCTACTCAACAGCGTATTATTTTTCAGCAAAATTTCATTTCATGAAAATCATGTTGAATGCTTTCACCTCACCAACATAGCTACCTGCAAACTGGCATTATTCTATTTTAATAGGAATTTAAGTGAATTTATTCAGACAAGAAAAATTTTATCTTAAACTAAATGCATTGTTTTTGAGCTTGTAGCTAATTGAAAATAGCCTTGAACACGCAAAGCAACCATAATCGCTTAAGCAATCAGCCAAGTGTTGTCATTGAAAGACAGTTACAGAGTTGAAAAATAAAACTCTAAGACAAGCAGCGGAAGCCACAGCAAAACGTTTGTCCTTTCTTCTTTTCGCCTTTTCGTCCTTCAGGAATGCGGTAATTTGTGCACAATTTCTTTTAGCCATTAATTGCCCTTCTGCTAGTATGAAAAGTAATTGCATACAATGAAGAAATTTCTGGCTAATTGAAAAAATACTGACCATAACCCAAGAACAGCGATAGAATGGCCGAGACAGAAATGTAGTTCTGTATTAAACCAAAGGGATTGCAATCAAAGTGAATTGAAAAATAAATTGCAAAAAAAATTCGAAATTACCTTCATTAGATGCGCTATTTCTCTTTAATAAATTCTCTCCTCTAAGACGTTTTATTTAAACACGTATAAATAAGGAATGTATTCTGAGGCTGATGCAACACTTCCCTTTCCCACATTAACACTTTGCTGCCATTGAACTCGGTAATTGTTTAAGTACCACAATTTTCTATATTACTGTGGGGCTTTCCTTCAGACACCACATTTACATACATACTGACATATATGCTTATACATACACATATTGCTTAAGTTTGTGTACATATGTATATTTAGTCAGTCAACCGACAAGTCATGCTGTCAAGAATTCAACCGCGACGGCTTGTATGGCATTCGTTATCCTATGTCTAAAAAGGATTGCGATGTACTTACATATGCGCATACAACATATGTACCAGGGATGTTGCGAATATTTGTATTCGCATTCGCATCAAATGATACGAATGTTTTGCGAATGCGAATGTGTACATGACCAGAGAGTCCACTCTAATATTGTTGAAATGGCTCTTAGTCTGTCTAACCACGATGCGGATAATAATCGGCTTTTAACTTCAGGCGCTAAACCGTTAACTAGTATGTATATCAAGCAAATTGATGGGCTTTCAACAAGTACGTACTGCTAAAAGTCCTATAAGCAACCTAGAAATAATTTTAGATTCATCCAGTGAAAGCAAAGACTCGGATGTAGAATCTGAAGACATTAGGATAAGTGAAATTAAAGCTCAATTGAAGGCCTATCTTAGCAGCAGGCAACAAAGATTCAAAAAACTGCTGTTTTATACATTTTCAGGCTTTTAATCATCGAATTCCCAAAAACCCCCCTTATATAAATATGTCTTTGGTGAAAAAAGAAAAAGTTATAAAATTTGGTGGCCATATTGGATCCACCATTTTGAATTTTGAAAATCTGACAAAAACCCCCAAACACTAAGTTTCAAATTAATTTGGTTACTTCTCGACTTTTGGCCAGCAAATGCTAGTCGCCAGACCATAGTGCACTGTATAGGTTAAGCACTCGTTCAATGTTCTCATAATTTACAAAATTTTTAAGTAATAAAAACGATGACTTAATTTGGTAGGTTTTTTAATGTTATTCCTAACATACGCATTCGCATTCGCACGTTCGCATTGCGAAAATTCGCATTCGCAAATGTGAAAAATGTGACATTCGAAACATTCCTAATATGTACGTATACATTACATATTGTGTTGCCACCAACCACCTGAGTGACTTGAATCGATTTCTTATGTTGTAGTTGTTTCAAAAAGTCAATAGCACGCTTTGGTTGATAGTGAATTTATTTTTGGTATCCTTTAAGACAACTTTGGCATGCTTTGCTGCATGCAGAGTTTCTTTCGGTTGTTGGTATGTATTTGTAGGAATTTTAGTGAAATTTTATAGGCCGCCACCAGCTAAGTAACTATTGGTTAATGAGTGTTACAGTGGTTATTATGGTGGCGGTTTGGTGTGCAATTATCATCAAATTTTCAAGGTTGGTAGCGGGTGTTGTTGGTTTTGCTTGTGTCACCTCACTTGGACTTGTAATAAATTAGTTCCTTCCTTAGTTTACAAAGGTGTGTTG